GGGAATCCAAGACTTCGACTTTGTGCCTTGCCACTGTGTCTGCRTCCAACCCTCAGTCCGAGTCCGTCGTGTCGAGTGAGTAAGTGTGTGTGTGTGCTCTCACTCTCTCCCTCTCTCTCTCCTCTCCCTCGGCTCACCCTCAGCCTCACTCCCGTTACAGATCTAGTAACTTGAGTGCTACATGTGCGATGGAGGTGGCCAGGCCATTGTCGCCCGCCCATCATAAGGTCATACAGCGCCCCAATAGTCGTGCGCCTCGTGCCTGCTACAACAATACAAAAAACTTGTGTGTCCATGGTGGCTTCTTTATTTAGTTTAGACAGTTTACTACAGATTCTATGCCCTTGTCATCTATACTGTGCATATTGAAGTAACTGGCGCCGTCGGGCTGCTAGCAGTTTTGAATAATCTTTGCATTTTCTCGTTAGAGAAAACGGGCCGTTGTTGAGCCCCGCAATGGGAACGGGACTTATTGCAGCTGCAAGGGAGATTGGGTGCTCCAGAGTAGAATAGAACAATGCCTATAGCCTCAACACTGACCTGCATTGTTGTATTAAAGAGACACTGGACCCGGTTTCCAGCAGGTGTCGCTCCCCAGCAATAGATGGAGCAGCCCGACAGCCAAAGCATCAATTCTGGTGGTTCTCTTGCCACTGCCGGGATAGTGGCCTTGCAAAAGGGCATTTAAAAAAAAAAAAAAAAAAAAAAAAAAAAAAAAAAAAAAAAGACAGTCCGTTGTTAAACCATATTACATTGGATTCAAAGAAATGTTTTTGCTCTTGCCAATAAAGCCAGACATCTTGAATAAAACGTCGACACTGGTGGTCTTGAAGAAGGAGGTGTTTCGTTTATAGTAGCTCGGTCCCTGGTCCGGTCGCTTACGTGGCGTCAGGACAACCCCTCATGTCCAAGCCTGGGTGCGGGCTTTGTGGGAGGACGGTCGCTGACCTTAGAACACCTTCCAGATCGTTGGACATTAGTATCTGGTCAATGCGTGATTTTTATTGTCTTGCCAGGTTGCTGTTGCGTATGCATGAGAATGTCCTGTCTGTCGGGTGTAGATCGAGCCTGCCTCGCCTCTGCCAACCAACGGACAGTTTCCTACTTGCTGTTGAATTTAGCTGGTATTAGCATTGCCCTCTTATCCTAAAAAAAAAAAAAAAAAAAAAAAAAAAAAAAAAAAGATAGCGATAGGTGTCGAAGAAAGAGAGGGTGCTGCACAGGTCGGCCAACATATGCTCGTCCTCTTCAGTGGTGTGTGAGGGGGAGGCCTGGGGGTTTCATCCGTCCTGCCACCTGTCAGGGGCCGCATTGAAGTCACCTGCAATGATAAGCGGGATCTCATTGGGGAGTGGAGTCGGGTGTTTAGATTTCCCAGGAATGCTTTTCTCTCTCTCGCTGTATTTGGAGCGTAAATGCAAAGGAGGGAGATAACCTTCAATTCCAGCATTCCCAAAACTGAGACCCACCGACCTTCCTGCTTGTCAGAAGCTCAATTGATCATCTCAAACCTAGAGTCTGGGGAAAGCCATATGGCCAACCCAGCCGTGCCGAGGCTCGGTGCATGGGCTTGGAAAGCCTGATGTGGCCAGACCATTTTTTTGTGCGCCCTCTGGTGCTCTGGTTTATACTCTTCCGACTGACCTGCTACCAGCAGGGCGAAATTATTTTTTTTTCTTTCGATGCTGCTACTGGTAGCCTGATCTTGGGTGTGGTGGGAGAACTTGTGGATGGACTTTAAGTTTAGAAGCAATATTCTTAACCTTTCTAATTTAATGTTCATAGTTCTAAACTTGTCGAACAATTTAGACCTCTCGACCTCTCAAGGCTGAACTGACAGAAATACCTGCTTCACCAAATTATGAGGGTGGAAAAAAAAGTGGCTGCTGACACTGTTGACCGTATTGAGCAAAATTCATGCATTGCATGTGATTGGATTCCTTGAAGACGAAACTTTTCTTCTTCTTCTTCTTCTTCTTCTTCTTCTTCTTCTTCTTCTTCTCCTCTCTCTCCCCCTCATGTTGTTATCCTTTTTTTGGTATAAGAACTGCAGATGATTTGTCTTTTGCAGAGCTGTCCCTTGGCGGTCACTCGAGTCTCTCGTAGATCCTTTCTGACGCCAATGCCACATTTGCGCTACCTTTTCTCTCTCTCCTCTTTATCTTTTTGAAATACGAGGTGCGCCCTCTTTTGATGCAGAGAATTCTCCTTCACCACATTTCTTTTTGTTCCTTTCTGAGCTTTCTCCAAACTCTGGCTAATTTCAGATCTGCAAAGACACACACACACACACACACACACACACACACACACACACACACACACACACACACACACACAAATAAATTCCACATTTGTCAACAGTAAACCATGATAGTCATGAAAATTTGAAAAATGAAAAGAAAAACCATGATCGTGGTCACGCACCAGACGTGTCCGACTGTCATCGTGTGGTTACCTTTCCTATCCCGTCTGTTTGTTTATTTTCCTCTGCTCCCCGCGCCCCCCCCTCCCCCTTGGCTGGTTTGCTTATCTGTCTCTTTGTTTGTTTCTCCTACCGTCTTCACCCGAATAGAACGCCCTGTCATTATCACTGTATCTCGACTGAAAGTTGCACCAAATACAGCTATAATGACCGGGCATTTCTATTCGGGTGTAGACGGTAGTTCGTAAAGTTTGTAGTACTCGCTCGGTTCGTCTCGGACATGCAATTTGTCATTCCAATTTTGGAATGATCATTTGCCTGCTGTAATCTCGCAGCTTGTTCTTTCACTCTCAAAAAAAAAAATTACCATCTCTGTTTCTGAACTCATGGACCGGATTTCCAGCAGGTGATGCTCCCCACCGAAAGAATGGAGCGTGGTGAAGGTGCTACCAGGAGGGGGAGGTGCTCATACCACCCCGGGTAGTAACCTGAGCCTATTTCAGGAAAAAAAAAAGAAAAAAAAGGAAGGTGGAATTGATGTTGACCATGTTCTCCCTCTGAAGTTTGTGGGTCTCTTTGCTACAATTTATTTAGGGGGGTGTGGGTGGGGGGGAATCAGAAAATCTAATATCTAATAGGTTCCCTCTATTCTCCCCACCATTAGATTGGAGCAACTAGGAAACCTGCTAGGGGGGGATGCGGGTACCACCTCCCCTAGCAGCCTTTCCTGTTTGAAAAATAATAATAATAATAAAAATAAAAAGATTCCCTCTATTCTGGGAAGCAACAGTCTGGCTACTCTTTCCCGGCAAGCAGGAATCAAGCTCCAGGAGGAAAAGAAGGGGGTTACAGCCCACTTCCCTCGCTACCCGAGACACTCTGCGGGGATTTTATGTTTTGTTCTTGTAGATTTTTGTACTAGGGCCATATGATTCTGGCTTGGTTCCAGGAGGAAGCATCAATACCCCTCAGGAAAGGAAGGGCACACAGAGACACACAAACTTTGGCGTTGGAGTAATTTCAGCGGAGACAATGACCCCTGATGCCGAGTGTAACAGTCTGCAGCTGTGCAGACGGGGAATATTGCAAAGCATTGAGTCATTGACACATTGTCCTGCTGTGCCGCTGGGAAGAGAAGTGATACTTAACATAAAAGAGTATGCAGACAGTTTGCTGAGGCAAGAACACCGCCATTCCCACAAGAAGATCGCCAATATCAACCATGGCATGGACAGCGGTGCTGTTGTCCCACAAGTGCCAGTGGTTAGAGGCACGGCAATGACCATGTACAATGCAGGCAGGGAGTGTGGATGGAAGATGATACCACTCGCTGGGCTGAGCATGGCGCCACAGAGAGAGAAAACCACAGAGAGAGAGAGAGAGAGAGAGAGAGAGAGAGAGAGAGAGAGAGAGAGAGAGAGAGAGAGAGAGAGAGAGAGAGAGAGAGAGAGAGAG